AGAGAGAGAGAGAGAGAGAGAGAGAGAGAGAGAGAGAGAGAGATGTGTGTGCCTGGGCATATGTGCATAGAGTGCTTCTAGGGGTAAGAGAACATCATTATGGAGTGAACTTTCTCCTTCTGCTTTTAAGTGGGTTTTAAGGATTGAGCTCAGATAGCCATCTTGAGAGGCAAGATTTTCATCCTGTGAACCATCCATCTAGTTTCAAACCCTTTCTTCTTTTATTCTGATACCATTTCATCAAACAAACTTTCTGTGATCTCCACGTTTACAATTGCAATCTCTCCCCCCAAATCCCTATCATCTTTCCTAGCAACATTTTCTCCATATTAATCTCTTTGCCTTTATTCAATCAATGATGATGCAACATATTCACTGTCTGTCACATAGATTATAACAATGGTTTCTAAATAGTTCCTTATCCCACATTTCTAAGGGAATTGCTCCATTAAAGCCAATTTTGTAAAGAAAATATATTGTATAAAACTTAGATAAGAGAGAAAGTTCAAAATAATTCATCTTAAATGAAGGAATATTGTGTTATTCTGTGATTTTAAAATCCTCAGGTGAAAGACAAATGTCTTTCCGTTACTTATAAGATCTGATGAGATACTTTTTTTCTCTTTTCTAATAAACATTTGGCTCATTCAGTCACATACTGTCCTAATCCATTAACAAATCATGTTGTGTGTACATTGAATACACACCACACATCTAATGCCATCATAATGTCTATATCACAACTACTGTTTTTTAACATTTATTATTATTAGTTTGTTAGTTGTGTGTGTGTGTGTGTGTGTGTGTGTGTGTGTGTGTTTGTGCTGGTGCCTGAAGAGACTGAAAGAGAGGTATCAAAATCCCCTAGAGCTGGGTTACAGGAGACTGTAATCCACCTGAACTGGTTTCTGGGAACTATAATCCAATCCTGTAGAAAAGCAGTAAGTACACTAAACCACTGAGCCACTTCTCCAAACCCCACAATCACTTTAGGCAATATCATAGTGAATAAGTGTCGATTATGTTTTTGCAATTCCTTCCAAACTGACCTTTCTGCTTTCACTCTTGTCCTTCTGAAACATATTGTCTAGAGAGCAGCAGAGATATTCTTTCACCATGTAATTAGACAGTTAGTGACATTGTACCCTTGCTCTGAATTGTCTAATAGTAAGAACTTTTCTTTGATTAAAATCCAACGTCTTCACTGTGACTGAAAATTAAAATCTTGACTGGTAGCCATCATAGTTTTTTTCTGGAGCTTAAGTGCTCTTATTCCCTTAGGACCTTGAACACACTTTTCTTTGTGCATTGCATACTCTCTGCATTCATATCTTTGCTGAAAGGTCAAACTCAAGATCCTGACTTTAGAAGTACCCTTTCCATTTTCTTATGTTGCTTTTTGTAATCAGTTCTGCTTCTGATACTACATACTATGTTTACTCATTTATTTGGTTTCTGTCAGGATTCCTCCCTGGGATATCCCCTGAATACAGCATAAAAAGATGCAATAAGACTAGTGACAAACTCTCATATCTAAGCTGGACAAGGAAACCCAGAAGGAGGAAAAGGAGCAGGAAAATGAGTCAAAGACAACCCTACTCCCACTGTTAGGAGTCCCACAGGAACACCAATATATACACAGAGGACCTAACACAGACCCAGGCAGGCTCCACAGACTGCTATTTTCTGGAGACAAAGAAAGGAGCAGTCCATCTGGATGGAGGGTGTCAACCTGTGGGAGAGGAAGGTATGGTGGAGGAGAAGCTGTATTCAGGATGTATGGCATGAGAGAACAATAAATAAAAAGAACAACAACAAAAAATTCCTTCCTAAAACACAAGATCCATCAGAGAATCATTTCTTTATCCCATGCTGAGAATAGTGTCTGGAATTCAAAACAACAAATAAATATGTGTTCAGTAAATAAATGTTTTCATATTTTTCACATAACATTACTATTTCTCGGACTTAAATGCCTCTTTTGACCTTTGTTAGAATATGAGAAACATTTCAAGGGCCCAAATCCACTGTTAAAGTTTTAGGAAAAAACTACCTCTGCTTTCCCTGACTTGCTTTAATAGCTTATACATGCCTTTGTAGCCTTAAATTCATGCAGTTATTGTTTTCTTTCTTCAAACTGATGTAGTTACACAATTCTTCATATTTACTTGATAGTTCTTTGAGGAAAACAAGTATATAAATATTTTAATAGGACTTTTACATCTGTGCAGAGCTGCCTAAATAACTTTCAAGAGTCTATGTGAAATGAACATGGTAACATGTGGCAAACTTAATAATTTCAATATGGCAATATCTACAAGAGTCTCTAAAATTCATGGGGCCCTATATGATTACACATACTCAAAAGAGAGCTACATCAAATATTTAAACACCCAATAGCCTCCTTTAATATCTTAAGTAGAAGCCATTGCCTCTCTGAAAAATTCCCTGTCCTTTATCTCAGCCAATAACAGAAAGAGTTAACAGAATCTCCTTCAATATTGTCATGACTCTCATGGCTTACTTTTCTTAAAGTCAATCACATAGCACTGCAATTTTTCTGTCTATTTTCATTTTCTGAACTACTTTTAATTTTCAAATAAAGTAATTGAGAATTATTCATCACAAACATGGTACATAGTAGGTATACAACAAATGCTTCTGTACTAAATTAATATCTATTACAATTTAGTATCTATTGTTAGCTACACAAAAATGGATTTTAACTCTATATAAGCAAATGACTCAGAACAGCTTTTCAAACATTGCTGAACCAGGGGTGCTTTTATGTAAAGGACAATATTTTCCAAAGGTATTTTTCTTGCTTTATTTATGACAGTTTTCTAAAGATAATACCAAAGCTTTGAACTTTGTAGATGACAGATGAACTGGATCTGTGCCATATGAAAGTTCATTGATGAATTTTAAAATGGTATAAGCTAAAATATTGACATGAAACATTTGGGATGGGAATTGGAAAGTAATTCCAATTGGAAGAAAATAAGTCAAGTCTATTCCCCATTGATATTTAATGAAGTTTTCATTCCCTTGGAAGCCCCTCACACATTAATAAATTCTATCTTCTTTCATGTTCCCCTTATTGTACCTTCTCAACCTTGTTTTTGTGAATAACAAGAGAGAATTCTTTAGTCTCCTACAGTGTTATTGTATAGTAAACAACTGCTCTGAGCATAGTTGTGTTATTTTCTTAAAAGAAAACATTTGTTAAAATGCAGAATTTAATTGGATAATTAAATTTTTTAGGAAGCATAGCAGCAATTTCCTTAGTGTAAACTGTCCTTAAAATTATACTCCCCAATCTTACTATTTTTTTTTTTTTACTATTTATGATATTTAGTTCCTGGCAGAGCCATTATTATGAGTTGTTAGTTTACAAAGAAATGTAGTGGAAGGACTGAACATCACAGAATATTACTAATTCATAATGCTATATTACGGTGTATCTTGAAGTGTATTCTCACAATACCACACAATAACCTTACTCAGATGTCAAATGTTCTTCGAACCTTGCAACCTTCAGTAACTAACCCCCTTTGCACAGGCTAAAGATTTTGTTGTCACATTTTTGTTATTTTTGAAGCTTCATGGAATAAATGCCTACTATATTACTTAGATTAATGTTTCAAAACTAATTCAATCTTTTCACTACAGTTTACAATGACACCGAATAAGAGCTTATTAGTAGTGAACTGACCCATTTCACTCAAATTTTCAAGCTACAGGAACTGATCCTTGTATAGCACTTGTACAAGTTAAACAGAACTTATTTAACTTGAGGAAATAGTTTACTAAAAATAAATCCCTGCCAGGTGGCAATGGCAAATACCTTTAATCCCAGCACTCAGGAGGCAGCGCCAGGTGGATCTCTGTGAGTTCAAGGCCAGTCTGGTCTACAGAGAGAGATCCAGGACAGGCACCAAAACTACACAGAGAAATCCTGTCTCAACAAAGAAAAAATAAAATAAACAAATCCCTAATGTTCTTAATGGTGCATCATAGAAATGAGACACTGATGCAATGAACCAGGTAAAATTCACTAGGGAAATAAATCACATAATGTACACTTAATATGCAGAACAGATTAGTCATTGCTGCTGATCCAGCTGTCCTTGTCCTGTCATTTTGCCCAAGGGTGATGCGAACCAATCACAAGCTATGTTTCATCTAGTTTCTACTCCAACAAGCCCAGAGAGAGAGTGTGACTCCTCTCTCCAGTTCTTAAGTGGTCATGTACACAGACAGATTCATGCCCTAGGGCTTGCTACCCTAATGCCATTGGTTGAATGGATCAAATTCCCACAACACTTCCCCTTTTTTTGTCTAAATAAGAAGATTCTAATCCTAATTCAAAACTATATACAATAGAAACAATTATCAAGTATTGTCCAGAAGAAAGAAAAAGATAATAACATAAGTAAAACGGAACTACAGCCTACAAGAACAACATAGAGCAGGAAAAACACGTGCTGGAACTGTTTTTTTTTTTTTATTTTTCTATCCCACCCAGTCCCATAGCTGTTTCCAAATAAGTACTCAGAGGCTTAATATTGCTTATAAACACTTTGCTGATGGCTCTGGCTTGGTATTAGTTACCTCTTACATTTAAATTAACAATTTCTATTCATCTAAGTATTGCCCCATGGCTGTGGAATTACTTGTCTGCTGGTTTGCTGTTCCTTGGGTGGCTAGATGGCATCTCCACAGCACTTCCCCATTTCTGTTTACTCAAAAAGGAAGATTTTAACTTTAACAAAATAAAATTACGTATAATAGAACAGTTGTCAAGCAAGAATTACAGTTACAATACCTAGTCTATTTGTATTTGGCGAAAGTAAAGAAAATATTCTATTTTTGTGAGTCTAAGGTTTCATATCCAATTTACCTTTTATCATAACTAAGGAAAACTTTAATTATAACTAGTCTTCAACTCCATCAAAAGCCCCAGAAGGCTATAATATTACCTAAGAAAACAGGATGTGCATTACAAGCAACTTTCAAAGCTCTAAAAATGACAGAGACATCTGGGTGCCTGGACAGTCACTCAAAGTTCTGTAATGTTGGTGTATCTATATTCAGCCTACAGAGTTAGAGTACCTGGTAGACTTTTCAGTGTAGGAGGAAATTTGAAGGACTGTCCCACCTATATTGGCAAAGTTCATCAGTCACTTTCCTCTGTGTCCTATAAAATGTCTGGCAATTTCTTCTGTGAAGCAGGAAACTTGAAGGACCATCCTTCCTTAGCAGTCACTTTTTTGTGGGCCCCTGCATATCCAGTTTATACAAAATATTGTCAAGTAGTTCAGGCAAGAGCAGTTTCTTTCCCAAATGGTTAACTTTACCATATTGAAAGCAAGTGACATAAGGAGTTTCTTCAATGCCAATCATCCTTTTTGAAATAATTGGTATTGCCAGGAGCAGACGTGTCTCACTGTTGAGAAAAGTCTAAGTTCTTAAAACATTTTAATTGCCATATTATGTAGGTCTTTGAAGTGTTTGAAGATTACCTATCTGAAATATATCTTCGTATACCTAGAAAACCTAACTAACATGCCTATAAGTTTGATGATTATACATGACTATTAATTTGTATTTCTTAATTATACATTGCAAATTTAAGTGGGTTGCATAAAGGTAATATCTTAAACAATAGTAGAGATATACATATAACAAAATTAACTTTAAATTTGTATAAATAAACTAAAATTCACACCAGTGTATTTTGAGATTAACCGTTGTTTTTTGGCTTAAAGTATATTCAATAATCTACCCTTTTTTCAATCATAATAATCTACCCTTTACCCCATCATTTCTATATAATACCCCACTTTCTACTTTAGAAAGAGATTGACTATAACCATTCAAATTCGTAACCAACTCCCCTTAAATGAAAACAGACATTCATAAACAATATTTTGGGAATTTGGGCATAGTTCTCTAGACTACTTCTTGTAGATTATGAGCAGTGGTAAATTTATGGGAGCCCTGAGAAAATTTAGAATTATAGTCAAGTCCTGCCTGGAGTATTTTATGAGGCTGGATCATCTCAGCCAGCAACCTTGAACCTGTTCTGGATGCAGTACTCAGAGGAAACTGCAACAGAGGCAATTTGAGATGCTGAATCAGTTGGGTCATTTGTTTTCATTAGTATCTGGTCCCCTCATTCTGAAAATACATAAACTTTAAAAAGTAACATACATATCTACATTAATACAAGTAAATACGGTATGTTATGCATAAGTCAGCCCAAGATGATTTCCTATTATATGTTTGAGCAGGTAAAATATACATCACATGTCTTGCACTTCTTTCAGGTTTATTTTTCCATGTATGTAGTCAGGATTTTCAGGGGGTCTTCCTTGATCAATTCTGATCATTTTGAATTTTGAATGAATCCACAATATCTCAATTCCTGTAGAACTTCTCCCTCAAAGCAGCATAACATTTTGACTTAAATTTTAGAGTAAAGATATTTTTAAAATATATAGGTTGGTTTAATCCAGCAACTCTTATATGCCAATGTCTCATACCAGTCAAAATTTTAAAGACAACTTAGTAATATACATAATGCAGACTTTCTGTATATTTTTCATTTTATGTGGCTATTTTTTATATTACTTAACTCCTCTTTTAAGTATATTATTTTAATATTATAACTATCTATACCCTTTTTTATCTCTCCCAAGTCTATGTACATTTTTAAAACATACTGTGACCTGTTTAGAGGCTCTTCTGTCTGAATCTATTTTTATTGTGTATCTGTAATCCTTTTCTTACCATTGCTTTAAACTGCTAAGCTAGCATGGTTCAGACAAAAGCAGCAGCTTTGGCTGATGGCTCTGCCCTGCTAGGCTTTCCAACATGGAAGAGGTACCAACAAGCATCATGCTTATCTTCCATAAGCAGCAGCTGGAAGAAGCCTCTTTAGAGCACCCATGTAGAGAGATTGTAGAATCCATCATGTAGCACAATGCGATGCCCTCAAACCTGCAGGCCGTGGCTGGGTCTGCCCACTTCTCGGGTTGTAAAAGTCAAGCATAAAGCTCATAGCCCAGTTGGAGGTTTGTGACCAAGAACCACATTCAACCTTCCTAGAGTTCTAGAATGCCCATGATTGTGCTGTGGCAGGCATTTTTACTTAGTTCTGTTTTCTTCCTATTTAATTTACTAGATACTCAAGGGATCACCGTCCTGTAGAAATACTTAAAGGAGCTGTACCCTTTTTATTAAGCTTTCTCAAACCCTATGGAAATTTGAAAACCCCATATTGGATGCCAAGTGAAATGAGATGCTGATGCAATAGACCAGGTAAAGTTTATTAGGTAAAGAAATCAAATAAGGTACATTCATAATACAGAACAGAATAGACATCACTGCTGTTCCAGATGTCATTGTCCTGTTGTTCTTCCCAAGGGTGATGAGAACAAACCACAAGTCACACTTCAACTTGATTCTGCTCCAACCACCCAAAAAGGAGAGATTGACCCCTTTCCTCAGTTCTTAAGTGGTCAGTCGCATACACAGACAAGACCATACAGTAGGGATTGTTACCACAGTGCCATTGGATGAACAGATTGAATTCCCACAACAAATCATTTTAAACATATTATGTATAATCTAGGAAGAAAAATTCACCATCCCCACTTTGTAAGTTTGCATAATGGGACATAGAAAGTAAAGTTAAAAAAAAACAATGTGTCAGAAGTAGAAGATAAAGAAATTTTTCATTATTTGTATATGACTTAGTTCATTTCTTAGAAAGCAAATCAACATTACCTTCTGTGGGATAATGCTTTTCTACACTGGTTTAATAAAACATTGATTGGCCAGTAGCAAGGCAGAAAGTATAGGTGGTATAAGCAGACAAGGAGTATTCTGGGAAGAGGAAGGCTGAGTGAGCAGACGCCAGTGAGCTGCCCAAGGAGCAACATGTAATGGGATGCAGGTTAAGCCATAGAACATGTAGTGACATATAGATTAACAAAAATGGGTTGAGTTTAAGTGTAAGAACTAGTCATTGGTACACATGAGCTAATGACTGAGCAGTTTTATTTAGTATAAGCCTTGGTATGTTTACTTGGGTCTGAGTAGCTGCAGACCGGGCTGGACACAGGAAAACTTTCAGCTACAATTTCCAAAAATTATGAAAAATACAACTCAGTAAAGAAATCATATTCCAAATGAGTCATATTTAGTCAATTTTCTCTTTCTTCCCTGGATTGGGTACTACTAGGGCAATGTAGTCATATTAAATATCTTCCTTAACTACAACACATAACATTCCTAGACTATATCTAATGAAATTTAGGCAAAGAAAATGTTAAAATAAATAAAAAAAATATTTAAAAATAAAAGTTTTAGAACCATAATTCATATCAAAGTAGCTTACCTTTAGAGATTATACTCATGAGCAAAATGTTATATTCACCTAAACAATTGCTGTAATTTTACAATGAAGTATACCCCATAAGCTCATATATTTTAATACTTGATCATCTGCTAGCTGCTCTATTTGGGAAGGTTTTGACAATATTAAGAGTTGGAACCTCACTGTAGAAAATGGGTGATGTCAGGGGTTTTATAGCATGACCACATTCTCTAATCATCTCTTGGCTCCCTGGGTGCAGGTACAATTTGGCCAGCTGCCTTCTGTTTACTCTACAATGTTTTCCCACCAAGATCGACTATATCTCCCTAGATCTGTAATCCAAAACAAACTCTTTTTCCCTTAATTTGCTACTTGTCAAGAATTTTTTCCACAATAATAATGATAATAACTGATATACTACACTATACATGATAAAAACTAGAAAAAAATTGAGAGACAGATTGTAGTACTTATAGAAGATGGCAACTTCCTCGTAATTAATCTATGAACAAACAACAAAGACTGATATGATGACAATTCTAGAATAATATAGAACATACAAAGAATGCTAAATAGAAATACATGCCATGTTCATCAAACACAATTCACTGTTGTGGTGGTCTAAAAGAAAATGTTTTCCAAAGGGAGTGGCACTATTAGGAGGTGTGGCCTTCTTGGAGAAAGGGTGTCACTGTGGGGGTGAGGGTGGTGCTATTGTGTTCCTCAATATATTGGGCATCCTAATAAACTTATCTGGGGTCACAGGACAGAACAGCCACTAGATAAACATAGAAGACAGAAAATGGGAGCACACACACCTTTAATCCTAGCATTCTGAAGGCAGAGATCTGTCTGGATGTCGTGAGTTCAAAGCCACACTGGAAACAGCCAGGCATGGTGACTCACGCCTTTAATCCCAGGAAGTGGTGGCAGAAAGCAGAAAGGTATATAAGGCTTGAGGACCAGGAACTGGAAGCTTTTGGCCTGGTTAAGCTTTTAGGCTTTTTAGCATCACAGTTTACCTGAGATTCATTCAGGATGAGGAATGAGAGTTTCCAGTCTGAGGAAACAGAATCAGCTGAGGAACTGGTGAGGTGAGGTGGCTGTGGCTTGTTCTGCTTTTCTCATCTTCCAGCATTTACTCCAATAACTGGTACCAGGTTTGTTTTTTATTAATAAGAACTTCTATGATTCGTGCAAAACTCCTGCCCCTTGCTCCTTGCTGCATAGGGAAAACTAGCTGGCACAATGCTAGAAAGCAAACCTTGGTGGTAAGAATGGGGGAGAGCTGGCAAGCCCACAAACCCTGCATCCACTCAGGCCCAGAACCAGGGTGTAGCAGGAATTTTAAAAGTTATTAATAAAATCAAACCTGAGCCAGGTATTGGGGTGAACACTGAAAGGTCAGAGAGACAGAACAGGCCACAGCTACCTCACCTCACCAGTTCCTCAGCTGGTCTTGTCTCCTCAGACTGG